AACATGTGTGAACACTGATGGCGGATACAAATGTACCTGCTCATCTGGATGGACTGGACAGAACTGTCACCAAGGTGAGCTCTCTCTTTAATGGGAATTTTTTTACAATATTTTTCTCAGTTATTTTCATGTCCTCCTATAGCTACAATTCTGCAAACTTCCCATCGTCGAACATGCTTCAATTAGCTTCATTTAGATATGATATTTTTATCACTCTAGACCTAGATGAGTGCATTGGAAACCCATGTCAACATGGCCGCTGTGAGAACCAAGATGGAGGATACAAATGTACCTGCTCACCTGGATGGACTGGACAGAACTGTCAGCAAGGTGAGTTGATTTTGTGCTGTCACTAAGGCTATAAGTTTAATTGACGGGCGTGCCGTGACTAACACTGAAGACGTTTATAGGGTCAAAAGTTACAAAGGCAGACAGCACGGGGAATGCTAATATCCAAAAGCTACCAATTAAAACTTAGGGAAATGTTTCGATAAGTGGCAGGTATTACAAAAACACTCGTGGGACATTTTGACTCTCACATTTCATCATGAAACCTGACACGTCTCAGACTCTAGCCATAATGGAACGCTAAGCGTTACAAAACATGTCCAGACACACAGGTATCGTTTAGCCGCGCCCTCAGAAGTACGAGGCTCCGTCCTCAGACAAGTAATTACGAAAAATTAATATGTAGGCATTCCACTTCGTTTTATTCCAAATCTTGATTTAAAATGGAACACGTTTTGAAACAAGCAGTGTCCCTTTGGAACACATCTTAGTAGGTGAGGGGCGGTCTTCCAGGCGTCCTTCTCCCATGTGCTGGGGACCACAGTACAACTTGCTGTTTCTAAGAGAGTGTCAGGCAAACCGTAAACTCTGAGATATACACTAACCATTGACCCGTCTACTGTAGCCCGGCAATGTCGGTATGGGTGGAGTGAACACAACAACCACTGCTACAAGCTGATGAACGAGAAAGTCAGCTTCAGTACAGCGAACCAAAGGTGCAAAGGAATGGGCGCGAATCTCGCTTCTATCTTGGAGGGCCAGGAGAACAACTTCATTGCAAGTATCATATCTCGTGAGTATTGTGCAATTCTTTGGCTACATCTCCACAGGATGGACATCCAATCTAACTTCATTACTTCCGAAACGAAAGTATTGTTTTGGGTGGTGGTTTGAATGTTTGGGTTCCGAACTTGGAAGTATGGTGTCATATTGTAATACAGGGCAGCTTTTGTGTACAGAGTGTATTCAATCTATGTAAGTAAAACGTATTTTAGCCAAATTATTCCCAATCGTATACCGACAACGCAAGAAATCCACCGTTACAGCTGCCAACACACAAACACGAACAGAAACAGAACCTTCTGCGGAGGGAAACATCTCCTTCCACGGAGGAGTCCAAAAGTAGTTTGCTACGTTTTAATACGATGGTTTATCTTGTATGCAAACAAACAAAATGAGCCATCTTTTGCTTAAAAGGCGCCTCATTCTATTTGCAGATGCATCGTGTGATGAGGTCTGGATAGGTCTACAACACAACATGTGGACGGACGGGTCAGCATTTCCTTACAAGAACTGGGCTAAGGGTCAGCCTAACAATCACTGGATTAAGGGGGGAGAAAAATGCGTCGTTATCTACACAAAGGTGCGTGTTCCTGTTCTTTGGTTTATCTTTGGAAGCCCCCAAGTAGGAAAATATATGCTGTGTTTCACTCAGTATTCTTGTACTTGTCTGTGGCTACAAACAGTAATACCCGGACTCGAAATCATTTTTCTGCATGGACGCACTGCATGTGGTTCAGATATTTTACCTGAACCACTCAGAATTTAGCAAGTATGAAACGTTTCTGAAACTGTTAAGAAACTTTACCATTATTCTTTATACTTTGAGGCGGTAACAGTTAATGCAGCAAATAGAAATCCACATACACTTTCATGGATATATACATTTATAAACCCAATACATTTCTCAGGGCAGGTTAAGTGCAGGTGGACATCAGAAATACCCGCACAGCTCCAATTTTACCTCAACATATACAGATGGTTTTTAGAGTCTTGAATACTTCTAGGACAAAACCATATGAAAACAACACATTATCTCATAGATCATATACAATAGACACCGATGATGTAACATTATTTTTAGTAACATTAATTTCAGAACTGACAATTTCTTTTTAATTAGTCTGTATTGGTCATCACGTTTTCTTCAGGACGGACATGATTTCTGGATGTTCACTCCAAAGAGGTACAAAGGACAATGGGCTGACAAAAATTGCAGGGAAAATAAACCATTTATCTGCAAGAAACCTAAGTAACGAACATTCAAACTCACTCCAACATTGCCTTGAAGAAGTGACAAAGAAAGCCACAGTTGCAGAGTTACAATACAATACTGTATGTCAACGTAAAATGACCGAGTTATGTCTTAAACAATATCAGACAACTTTTATGTCCCAGATAGGGGACAGAATTTTATTGTAACAGTCCTGTAGACCAAATGGAGCTTGTTTGTTACAATGGATGAATATTTTCTGCAAGAAATAACACCAGGCCAAGTACAGGAAGTACTGGCTATATTAGCAGCATGCATTTCAAAGTTCGATGTAGATTTAGGAAGCAGTGACGATTCCGTGAACCATTTCTGTTAACCTTTGTAGGGTGGTACTGCAGTGAAAAGATTAGTAGTAAAATTGTTGATTTATTAGTAGCGAATTGGGGCCGGTACAGGACGACAAGTTGCGTATGCAGAACAGCATGAAATGACCAAGACCCCTATTCTGAAGAACTCAACACTAGAGAAATCTTATATTTGTGACTAGATGTGTGTATATAGAGATTCTATATTTATTTTTCGATGTAACGTTGTGATGTCTGCCCCAGGAAAAGAACAGTGAATTTGATCAAGGCAAAGAATGACATTGTGCTGTTGGTGGTGAGAAAGATTATCGTAGAGACAGCAGATTTCAGTTCTAACTTTATTTCAAGACATAAATTTGAAAGTGATACCATTTGAGTAGCTCAGCGACATGTATGATGTCATGTTGTAGAAAGTCAGCTTTGGTTTATTAGTACTTGTAAAATAAAATGATGGTGTAAAATGACAATTTTGTAAAACGTGTTAAAAACGATCTTAGGTGAGCATACGTACTACATTAACTCACCAGTGAGAATGAAAAAAAATAGAAAAACAAACAAGAAAAAGGCGAAAAAAAGTAATGAAAGCAAACTCGTCTACAATTAAGAGATGATTTACCAGTATTTCTGCGTTTCTTGTGTATATACATGTATAAGGAATCGTTAATTACGAAAAAAATCAAGAGTACAACGTTATTTCAATGATTTGATGTGTAGTTTTCCTTATTGTGACTGTAGTAAAATATTGTTACTGCCAGTCGGTTGACTGCCATATATCGTAACACTCCCTTATATTATAGCCAAGGGAGTGTTTTAAATGCCTTATGAAATAGTGAAGTGGAAAACAGTTGAAAACGAGGATTCAGCATATTTACTACTGTACATTTACTATATTTACTACAGCACATATTTACTACACAACCTCAAATGCAAAATCAAGAAATAAGTTTGAAGTCTCATCTACATGTACAAGAGATTTTGTATATATTTTGAATTCTTTGTCAAGACAATATCAAATGGACAAAGTTGCTCCTATGCTCTGATGCTTAGTTTTGCTTTATTATTGCAATAGGAAAAGAAATAATATTCTGTTTTTTTTACTTTAATGTATTATTTATCCCCTTATATTATAGTCCAATAGTCAGGGAAGGTTTTATGAAATGGCAACAAGACCATCATGTTTAAATGTGAATTCACTATATATTCTTACAAGCAGGAATAATCAAGAAAACATGATTGAAACTGCAACAATGCACTAAATCATATTCGTTTACAAGGGAATTTTGTTTTTCAGCCTTTTTATGCATGTTGAATCTGGTATTAATTATCAGGAAAACATCAAGAGGAAAATGCTGTTTTAATGGGCTCTGGATGTATTTTTGCTTTATTGCTGCTATATGAAGAGAAGTAGTACAGTAACTGCACATGTATTTTCACTATCAACTGATTTGTATCTGTCATATGTTGGTTACGTTACCTTGAATTGTTAAGGAGGTTTCTATAGGAGTCATCAAAAGATGATGCAGAAGATAGCAAGCTTTACAAAAGCAATGTTTTGCCGGAACAAACGTAAGAAGAGCATACGTAGTCACTACATCAGCCCACGTACAATCAAGACAAACTGAGAAAACTGTAAACAAATCAAAATTGTCTACCCAGATGTTGTAAGATGTTCCAAAACACAAGCGGGTGTGAACATAAATATTCACTACAACAGCTCACAAGCAAGAGTAATCCAGAAAACTTCAGTGAAAAATGTAATCCAGTCCAACTCTACCAAAAATGAAAGTGCATGTTATAAAATACAGATTAAATTACCATATGCATGATAAAGCCTGTCGGATCGTGCTGTCATGTTTAAACAAATCTAGGTAGACAGATTACCTACACGTGGTTTTACACGACTGGTTCTTGTCACAGGAGCTCAGAAAAGTTGTCGTTTCTACGGCGCGTTTGCTTACTGTGTTGGGTACTGTGTTTGAGCCTTACAAACGCAAAGAGGGACAAGTTTTACGTATAACAACTCTGCTAAGAAGTAATTTGTAGCATGGGCCATTAT